CGATCAATGAACCGGACCCGAGCCGTGATCGGCACCGATCAATGAACGGAACCGGACCAGCCGTGATCGGCACCGATCAATGAACCGGACCCGAGCCCTGATCGGCACCGATCCATGAACCGGACCAGCCGTGATCAGCACTGATCAATGAACCAGACCCGAGCCGTGATCGGCCCCGATCAATGAACCGGACCAGCCCTGATCAGCACCGATCAATGAACCGGACCCGAGCCGTGATCGCACCGATCAATGAACCGGACCAGCCCTGATCGGCACCAATCAATGAACCAGACCCGAGCCGTGATTGGCACCGGATCAATGAACCGGACCCGAGCCGTGATCGGCTCTGAGCAGCACCAGACCCGAGCCGTGATCGTCACTGGATCAATGAACAGCACCGGACCTGAGCCGTGAACGGCACAGGATCAATGACCGCACTGGACCGGATCAATGAACGGCACCTTGGACCTGATCAGTGAACAGCACTGAACCTGATCAATGAATGGCACTGGACCAGATCCATGAATGACACTGGACTGGATCAATGAACAGCACCAAACCTGATCAGTGAACGGCACCGGACCAGATCCATGAATGGCACCTTGGACCTGATCAGTGAACGGCACCAAACCAGATCAATGAACAGCACCAAACCTGATCAATGGCCGGCACCTCGGACCTGGGCTCCAGCACCGAACCTGATCAATACATGCACAAAAAGAGGGGAACTCCAACACTCTGCACCCAGCAGGCACTGAGAGGGAGAAATCCCAATCCTGAAGATTCCTTCCAACAATGCCGGGAGCAGTTTATGGTGTGGAGCAAGATCCAGGCTAAAGGCACGTCCCAAGATTTCAGTGACCCCCTGCTCGTGCCGTTTTCTTCCCTTCTGTGAACAACCTCCGTGGAGATGCCTCCGTTCCTCCTCCTGCACTTTGGACTGGAGGTCCTGGAACAGCATTCCCAGAGGAGCTGGGGCTGCCCCTGGATCCCTGGAAGTGTCTCAGTCCAGCTTGGATGAGCCTTGGAGCAGCCTGGGATAGTGGAAGGTGTCCCTGGGGCAGTGGAAGTGTCCCTGGACACAGTGGAAGTGTCCCTGGTCATGGCAGGGGTGGGATGGGATGAGTTGTGAGTTTTCATCCAACCCAAACTGTTCCAGGGTTCTGTGACTCACCTGAGCCATCTCCTTTCTCCTTTCTCCAGGAGATGCTCCTGAGCCATCTCCTGGATGGGATGGATGTTGGAAAAGAGGGAATTCAAGCCCCCGTCTCCAGCTGCCTTCCCCTTCTCCCCCGCTCTGCCTTCACACCTTCAGGATGCTCCAGAGCACGGGGCCAGCAGGAGCCTTTCCCTGTGCCTTGCTGAGCACAAACTTCCCTTTCTCCAAATAATTCATACCAGATTAATACCGCTAATTAATCCAGGAGGATTCATTCCATAAACCTGTAAGAGAACTCTGAGCACTGGGATCCACCAGAATCTCCTCCACCATCGGTCAGGGCAGCTCCAGAGCAGAGCAAAACCTACCCCAAGGGGCTGAAAGTCTTTTTTTTTTCCAGGCCTATTCATTATTAAAGTTCTCCAGCTCTGGAGAATTATGGAAATTCCTCAGCAATAAGCAGAAATATGTATGAATTCAACCTTTGTGCTCTGACCATAATGAGAAACTGCAAAAATGAAGCTCTGAGAAATGAGCCCCGTCCCAAACCTCTCACCCCTCCCTCGAGGGATCAGCTTCCCCCACACTCTGATAAATTCCACACACATGGAAACTTTACAAGGATGTATTTATGCTCATTAACACCTCTGGATTATAAACCAGTGTCCTCCCCTTCAGCCCACAGAGCATCACCTCAGGCTCCCAGCAGAAATCCAAGAGGCACCAGCTAAAGGGTATCAGGCTACAAAAGAAATGCAAATCTGAGATTTATGTCAGCAATTCCCTCTGATAAACAAAAACAAAAACTGGAAGCATTAACCCCCCTCAGAACCCCTATCACCCACACAAATGTACACAAACACACTCACTGCTGTTTGTGCTGCCTGAAAACAAACTCTAATGGGTTTATTACAATATTTGGAACCAATTAGACCAATAAAACCCTGAGCAGTGTGGGGTTTTCCCAAAATTTGGGCTGCCCACAACCATTCTGATCTGTAAAAGCTGCACGTGGCTTTTGGGTGCTTTCACACAAATTTTTCCCTCTGTTATAGATTTTAACTTGTATCAATGGATAATCAGGAAAAATAAAAAGGATCCAGTTTCAAGCTCCTCACCCACTGCACATTCAGGGCTCCTGATTTGCAGTAACTTTCCAATCTCTTTTCCCATTTTCTATCACCTGGTTTCTCCCTGTGTGTGTTTTTCAAGTAGCCATTAATCTTCCCAGGTCTGGATTCAATCCTTGAAAAAAAACATGTCTCCCTTGCATTTTTCTAGTGTTGAAATGTTTCTATTAAAATATTTGTGACAATAAGAAGAAAAAAAAATGTGGCTTTTGGAAGACCAAAATGGGAAAAACCTGAACAGCTGATTTAGTTCTTCCTTCTCCAGCAGGAAACTGGGATTTTCCCAGGGTGGAAAGATCTTCCCAGAAATTTCAAGTGCATCAGGTAGATTTATGAATTCCTGTGGTCAGAAATTCAAACCTCTCTTTGAGCCCAGAGAGTTTGACCATTTCAGAAGAAATCCCCAACACAGGTCACAAAGAAAATAAGAAAATCTACAAAGCCTTTTCTCAAGCCTCTCAACACAATTATTACTTCAAAACCAACCCAAAGCCAAAAAAGCAACCGTGATGCAGTAAAATCCTGCCCAGCTGGGCACCCAGGGAAGTCCTGGAGGTGAATGATTCCCTGCTCCTGGGGCTGGGACACGGGGGGAGCTGCCAAACCCGAGTGGGGCTGGTGGCAGCTCTGTGGGAGGGGTGACAGTGGCACCATCAGCTCCAGGGTGGGAACAGCCCCTTGGAAGCTGCACTGACAGCTCTGGCCACAGCTCAAGGCTTGGCAGGAGGAAGGGAGCACCACGGAGCAGCTCCCTGCCATCCTCACTCCAGTTCTGCTGGGAATGGTTGGGGAGAAACCTGGATTACACCTAACTGCAGCCCCAGTGTTCCCCAGTGCAAAGGAACCAGATCCCAGCACCTCTTTCTGCAGAGAACTGCACACTATCAGATATTTAAAATAGCAATCTGATCCTTTGGATGAATTTATGTTTGCTGAATCAAATAGAAATAAGGAGACAGAACAGTTCTTAAGTGTTTTCCACACACACAGATGTATTCAGCAAGCATGGATTTGTTAATAACTCACTGGAGAACACAGAAAGTGGCAGATTTGATGGAATTTGACAGCTTTCACTGGGTACTTCCCCACACAGCACTGAGGCACAGTGAGCAGCACAAACAAGCCAAGACTAATCGTCCTTTATGTCTCATTACAGGTTCAAACATTTCTTACAGTGTATTTCTTGTTTTTTTCTTTTTAAATATTCCAAACGATTTATTTCTCTTTGCTCTCTAATCTTCTACTTATCACCAAATTCTTTCACAATTTCTCATTCTTCGTTTTTATCTTTTGCTTATTTTTCTTCATTTTTATCTTTTACTTATTTCTCATCCATCCTTTCATTTTTTCCTGGAAGTCTGGTACCAGTTCGGTATTCCCACTGTTTCTGGGAATAAACCAAGGGAAAAGGGATAACTTTTATCTGGATCTCACATGGAGCAATGTCTGTTTTTCCTGCTGTACACCTGACGTGTCCATTCTACCACTGCTACACAAAGAATTAAACCAAATCCATTCACCTACAAACTCCACTCATGCCCCAATTATTCAATATACTATTAACAGATTAATTGCACAAATACTTCAGAGTTTATTTGTGGTTATAAAGTTCCCAATACTTTCCCTCCCTTCCTGCTTCCCCTGTCTCCTGCTCAAACCAGCTGTAATTAAATTTCAAGTGGGAACCACTGCTCTGCTGCATAAGGGAGAGTGTTTATACACTGGATTTACATAATAATTCTGGGTAGTTTTTCAGGCACAAGTGGCTTTTCCTGACTTTCCACATGAGCCTTAATGCCTGTTCACCACAAGATAGGAAAATGTTGTTGCTCCACAAGCACCAAGGTACATTTATCCCAAAGATACAATCTGAGCATGAACACAACAGCTGATTATCCTGTTTATTAAAAGTGTAGGTGTCCATCCTGCCCCAAACACAATCCAAGGAAAAAACTGCAGCAAAAGGAGGGAGAATCAGAATTCAAGTTCCTGATACCCCACACATATTTCACATTCACTTGCTTTTTCCATGGCTTCATCCATGACTTAATTTCTTCAGGAAGTCAATCCCACACTGGAATTATCCCCACAATTAGCAGTTATGAATTTGCTCTCCCAGCAAAGACCACTGGGTTGATGTAAAGTCCCAAATCCATAAAATGGGAGCTGGATGAACTAATTATGCTGACAGATTGCAGGGAGTCTGAGGAGCTGCAATCCTCTCTGCAAGGACAGCAAACAGACTTTTTTCTTCTAAATTATGTTCTTTTCATTTGGCAACAACATATGGCCACTGCCTCTCCCCAAATTCCTCTTATCTATTACTGAGAAACTGAAACCAAAACACTTGAGTTATCAACCCCAGGCAATGCTGCTTCCTGCAGCACCCTCCTGTCAAGCAGCAGCACTGGAAAAATCCCAGGAGCTGGAGCACGCAGAGATCAGTCCTTGGCAATCCTACCCAAAATAACAAGAGTTTTCATTTTAATCATAAATAACATCACTGTAGGACAGGTCATGTATTCTGGTCTATGCACCGAGTTAGAAGCTCAAGTTAATTCCTACTGCAAAAATCCAAATTATTTATCTCTTCATTTCCACAACTTCTTCAACTTTTTTGCTTTGGTCTCTAGAATTTACTGGTTTAACTCCTTCCATAAAAGCCTCCTAATCTCAGTTGGATCTCCAGATGTAACTGAAGGAAGAGAAATTCCAATGTTAGCACTAATTCCAGCTCCAGGATCAGCTGGAGCCTCCCCACAGCAGGAATTGCACACACAAGAGCCCCAGAAGGTTTGTCTGGATGCACAATTGCCAGGTTACATTCAAGTGTAGAGCCCTCAACCTCATCCTTTCGACATAAAACACAAACACCCCTAGAACTGAAACATTTCAAGACAAAACAGAAAATACAAAAACAATAGGAAAAAGATGACAAGAATCACAACGCATGAGCTGAGCTATGAAGGTTTTAACATTCCCTATGCCTGTATCCCAGCTCCAGGCTTCCTTAAAACCAGCTCATCCTCTCTTAGCTGCTATTTTCTGAACACCTCAAATGGCCAAGATGAAGTGGCAACTCTTTTTTTGTTTCCAGCTAAGCATTACAGCTCAGCCCTCAGCATGCCTTCACTGTGTCTTTGCCCTCTATGTTGAGTTTTTCTCCTCCCAAACAAAGAGATGCATAAAAACATGAAGCAGTTGCTCATCTATTCATCAAAGAATAATTAATAAGGCTGTTTAAGTAAAGCTTAATTCTCTGCTTTAGGGGAGAGCAAGCGTTAGGACCTCGAAATCAGGAGGGGAAGAGAGAGCCCAGCTATGAGACAGATCCCCTTGAGGAATGGTTTGGCCCTTGAAAAACCCCAAATCCTGCAGCAGGGGCTCACCTGGGTGGGAACAAGCACTGGAGGATAGGCCAGCTTGTGATGTCTGTACATCCAGAAGGAGAAGAGCACAATCACTGCAATTCCCATGATAGGCACCAAGGAGTAGAGCAAGGTGTTGAACAGAGGTGGCTTCGGTGTAACAGGATTGGAAGTTGCTGAAGGGAAAAGAAAAAACACACAGCTTTTAAGGAACAAAACCAGGCAGTGTTTGAAATGTGCAGCAGGCTGATTTTCTAACAGCTGCTGCCATCATCACAGCAGGCTCCCAGTAGCTGATTAGCCAGCACAAACTAACAGCTGGTTAAAAGGCAGCACTTTGGAGAGCAGGGGAATAGCTCAGATCTCAGCACAGCAGAACTCTGGGCCCCCAGCAGCCTACAGGGGCCAAAGGGTGTTCGTATTCCCAGGGGATTGCAGGAATTCCTCACCTAACGAACTAAAACCAACCAATACAGAGATTTGGCAACAACCTGCCAGCTCTTCTGAGCCTGGCTGGAAGGAGGAGTTCTCCAGGTGAAGACATTTCCACATGATCTAAAAAAGGCTCTGCAGGAGCTGCTTCCAAGGCAGCCACAGCCCCCTGGGGCAAGAGAGGGCTCAGGAGAGGGAAGAATGTCAATTATTGCCTTAGCAGCATCACTGACAAAAATGACAACAATATCTCCTGGGTCAACAAAGGCTATTTTAATCTCACAGAAAATGTCCTTTCGTTTCATAAACAACTTCCTCTGGCTATTTGGTACACAAGACATTTGCTGGTTTCAGCTCAGTTATTAACATCACTTGGTTTTCCAGCAGATTCCTGACTGGAAGAAGACAGGCAAGAAAAATCAAATCACCTTTCAGCTGTTGTTTTTTAAAATAATTATTTGTTAAGTCTGGCTAATTTGATCGTGTTTCAGAACCACAGAATATGCTGAGTGGAAGAATCCACAAGGATCCTGTGACCTGGGAGGAAATTCTTTTCCCCTTTTTAGATACTACTGTGTACGTTTACAGAGAAATTCAGAAGGTCCAGGAGGGATAAAGAGGATTTATTGAAGAAAAGGAGCATCCCCAGGCTGGCACAGGGATACAAGGATGAGAAGGGTCCAACAATTTACACCCTTAGAGGAGCTTAACTATGTAATTAAGGTAAGATTTGACAATAACTTCTATATCTTAAACCAGGCAATTATTCCAGATTATCCTTCCTTCCCACCCTTGGAAAGAGCTCAAGTACCTGTTATTGATTTTCCAGGAAAGCACCTTTCCAAGTGGAATAAATGAACTGGCACTGCACAGAACCCTGTGGCAGGAAAGGCAGGACTTTTGGGAAAGTCTGAGCTGCTGAAAAAGCAGGATGTGGAACATTGCTGTCAGGAGGAACTTACGCTGCGTGACCTCCATCTCCGGGAAGTAGAAGAAGCGCTCGTTGCACATGTTGCCCTCACAGCAACAGAAAAACACATCAGGGCTGTCCTTCTTCTCTATGCAATCATTCCTGCAAGGGAGAAGAGGAAAAAGTTCATTCATCTCCAGCTGGTTTGTCTTTGTTCAAAAAAAAAAAAAAAATTTACGTGCCCAGCTTTCAGGTTTCCAAAGTGAACTTTGTTAAATCGACCGTGACCAAAGTAACAGCTAAATCTCATTAAATAAATTAGATTTTGATATTTTATACTGTGTGAAATTTTATTAAAACAGAAACACATTTTTGTCATTTTTAAGATAAAGTTAAACAAAACCACCACCAGACTGAGGAACAGTTCACAAGCTAGATTTAAACAGGACAAGCAAGTGATCAAACAAGGCTGGAGATAAGTGAGAAGGAGAATTTTTAAATTTTATTGTATTTGTAGAAAGAAATGGTAAAATTTCTACAATATCCTCTGCCTACATTATGCTCAGGGACAGGGTTTATTTCATTCTCTGAATTAATTGCAGGAATGGCTTTTTTATTAATATTCTGCTAACAAGTAAGCTGAAACCATTCCCATCAGGAAAGAAAAAGCAGCAACCAGGAGCCAACCTTACAACAAAACTGGAAAAAGCTGAAGAAATATTGAAGGATTTTAAACACAGCTGAAGATTGTCAGGGAGGTTTTGGGCTCATCTTCAAAACTTGGGGTTATTCCCTGGAGCCAGCTCTGGCTGTCACCCTGTCCTGTGACCTCCAGGGGACATTTTGTCTTTGATGTCCTGGATCTGCTGCTGTTTGGAGTCACCCCCACAGCTCCCAGAGCAGCAAAGGCACCCCACGCTCAGAGATAAGATTTGGGCTGCTCTGGACAAACACAGCACTGGGTGTCATTAGCACAAGTTACTTAATGAGCACTTGCAGTCACTCACTTTCCAGCTCCTTCCTGTTTGATTTCTTCTTCCAATTTCTTTTCTTTGCTCAAGGGAGGATTTTATCTCATGATTTTAGGATTTTTTTTAGATTGTGGGACTGAGCTTTAAACTGTCGTTAAAGCAGAAAACAGCCTGGGCTGGGGGACAACTTGATTTGGGAGAAAGGACTTTAAGGTTTTTTTCTAAAAATTTAACTTCTAAGAAATACAAAAAAATATTTTAGTGAAAATTGCTGAAACAATTCCTCAATTCTTTTTAATGATGATCCACTGTGGATCTATTTCTTAATTCTCTGCCTTCCCAAATAATAAATGTTTTGGGCCAATAAAACTCAGTAGAATATTTTAAAAACTGCAACACCATTGCTTAAGAGAGTCATGACCTTTATTCAGTCAGCATCTAACAAACCCCAAGTCCTGCTGTTACTGCTTGTGGGTTCTTGCTGGACCATCTGTTATCAACAAAATAACTGGAAGTTTAGAATATTCTTAGAGCTGCCATTGAGCTTATTAATAAACTGCCAAAATACTTCCATGATCTGGTAAATTGCAGACACAAAGTGCTGACTTTCCAACTCTAAAGACTTTGGAAAAATCAATGAGAGAATTTTGCATCCTGGATGCAATAATTATATTTGAACTGTTTGGCAATAACAATAATCTATTATTTATTAATGGACTAAAAAAGAATAAATGAAATACCTGGGTTCCTTTAAGAAGGCAAAACAAATTATTCTGCAAACAAGACAATGTACTCACATGGAATCTGGTCCCTAAATACAAGCAAGCATCTAAAAATAAGATAAATATTCCCAGACTCACTCATCTCAAGCCATGCTTGTGGAGGCAATGACGTAGAAATTATGGAGAGGCAAAAGAGTTTACAGTGACAAATCCGTTTCAAAAATTCCTAGGAAAACTCACCTGTCATAACAATTGATGTCATCCAGCCAGCAGCCTTGCTTCACGATTTCAATTGATCCAGAAATATTTTTCCATGTAGCAAAGCAGTGTCTCCTTTTATCTTTATCACCATAGCAGGGCTCGATCCCGCTGCGATTGGTTTTATCCTTCTCCCAGTTAGCGTTGTAGTAGATGCACTCCTGTGTCTCTGATCTACCCAGGATGGCACCTGGGAGGGATGGGAAGCACAAATCAATGGAATTCTGCAGGATCAGGCATAGGAATAAATGCAGGCTGTATAAAAATATCATTTACTGCTTGTACCAATGTATTCTCTCTGCCCTCTTTTTTAATAAAGAGAGAAAACACGGAAAGTTCAGCAGCATTCCAAGTGTTGAAACATAAAACAAAGATCTTCTGTGAAGTCAAACAGTGACTTGCATAACTTAGCAAGATTTGCAGAAATGAAGAACAAGTCATGGCAATACTTCTCCATGAATAGCAATAGCAGAGAAAATTTAGAATGCTGAGCAGTGAAGATTTAATTAAAATATTCGCCAAACCAGGAGTTTTAGCCAGGAAAATTCACCAAAAGGCATTTGTGCTTCTTATCTCATTACAGGAGCCAAAAGAGCAGGGAGTTCATCTCAGAAACTCCAAAAAAGCCAGTAAGTGTTAGGGGGCAAGTGTTACAGAATCCCAGAATGATGTGGGCTGGAAAGGACCTTAAAGACCATTTAGTGACCATCTAGGAACCCTCCTGGGATTCTGGGGAAGATCACTTCAGAGTTAATGGGATATAAAGCACCAGCTCCTGAGAAGGTCAAGGGTTGTTGGGAAGCAAGACTGTTAACAAAAGACAGGAAGGGAGCAAGAAATGCCTTTTATTTCTGTTTTTTCTCTTGTCAGACACTGCCCAGAGCGTGCCATTAATCTCCATGGAAGCTCCACCATTTAACGTGTATTAAAACCATGGGAAAACGGAGATGGAGGAGCTGGAGAACCAGAGGATCCACTGAGGAAGGCTCGGGAGGATGCCAAAGCACTTTGCCTGAATTTATCTATATATTTAGTATTTTTAAGACATTACATTGCCCAGCACGCTGAAGACCAGACTGGAAGAGAAAAGGTTTCCCACAGCAGTTTTTGACATATTTATTTGCATCACTCGCTACCTCCTTTATCCACATTTATCCACAATAAACGTGACCCAGCAGCCATTCCTGAGAATGAGGATTTTTTCCGACCTGAGCCTTGGGAGAGCAGCCCAGGAAGCCAAAGCAGAGCCCAGCACTGCCCATCCTGAGCATCCCACCTTGCTCCTTCCCAAAGCTCTGCCTGTGTTCCCAAAATAGGCAGGAGCTGGAGGATCAATGGGAGAGGGGCAGGAGCCAGCTGGGAACGCTGCGAGGGGCAGCCTGGGAACCATTAAATTCCTTGTGCTGCCACGGCCTGACCTTTACAGCTCTCAGCTATGGCAAGAAACAGATGAGGCAACAGATTGAACAATTTGGTTCTGTCAGTGCAATAAAGCAGAAGTCCTGGATTTCTCTCACACGTGCCATTGCTTTTCTCTCGCTGCCAAGCCCAGCTTTGAAGGACCACAGACAAGCTGAATTTTACAAAATTCAGCTACTGCACTAAAACTAACTTTGCATAAATATTCTCCTTATTCCTGTCTTCTTTCTAATCAGGTTTTCTTATCCATCTATTTTTTAATTCACGAATGCTCCTATCAGTGACTGGCAGCAGTTGCTGTGGTTTAATGACCTTGGATCTGGCTGGGGTTTCTCACCTGAGCAGGCACCAGCAATGGGTCTGGCCAGACTAACCCAGCCTTGGGCAGACCACGACAATCCTGGATTAATCCTTCAAAGCACAAAAGCAGGAACGTGGTGGAAGAAAGGCAAGAGGAAAAGGGGAACCACACAAAGAAGGCAGGCCTGAGCCCATCTGCTTCCAAGCAGCTCTGCCACTCCCTCCACAGGGATGGAGCTCCCAGGGGACAAGGGCAGCTGGCATTTACAATAAAGTAAATTTACTAGGCAGAGCAGGTCTCTAATGGAACTCCTGTACCCATTCTGAGTGCACAGGGAATTGCCAGGCCCTCAGAAACCAATTCCTGGATCTCAAAAAAGCAAAATGGTGCTGCTGAATGCACTGGATGGAACATGAGGTCTGAAAGCCTGGGGGAAACACACTGGGATAGCAAAGGGCATTAAGTACAGAGCAGAGTTTAGTTTGGGCACATTAAGGCAGATCCCATAGGATATCTGTGTATTCCCATTCCAGTGCTGCTCTGTCCCTCACACTCCTGCCCATCCACAGCTGCACTGGGGGAACAAAACCAACATTTCAACTTCTGAACCACTCTTAATACAGGTAACAGCAGAATTAGGAACAATTCCATCAGACAGCACAAGTGAAGCCTGGAAAACCTCACCTCAGGAGGAGCTGGAAGCACTGCCTGCCATTTCTCAGAGAGACTGAATGACTGAAAAAAAAAAAAAATCTACCAGTTTTTTAATTAAAAAGGGGCAAACAGTGCACAGCTCCTAAGGACTAACGTGGCCTTAGCTCAGGAAGGGATCACTGGGAAAAGGTGCTGGATGGAGTAGGAATTGTCTCTTACAGGTATCACTAAAAAAAAAGGACAGAAACTCCTGGGAATTCATCGTCCAACTTTATCCACTAAAGCTAAAACTGAGCAGCACAAGCCCATGGGTCTGTACTGCAGGAACGGTTTCCTGATACTTTATCTGAGACGTGATAATGATCATGTCCCTGCCTTTCCAGGGAAGGCTTCAACACTTCCCACATGCTACCCTCATTCCCAAATCCTGCTTTTGCTGCGTGATTAGTTGGTGACACCATGGAAAGACACAAAGGGCAAAGGGAACCGAATCTGTGATCTCTCACTGCTTTATGAAATGTAACAACATTTTCAAGCTGAAGTCATGAAAATTGATGGAAAGCCTGCAAAGATTAGTTTAATGGTGCCAAGGACACTTTTTTTTTTTGCTATTCCCTAGAAAACTTACAATATATAAAAGAACTAAAGGGTGAGGTTCAGTCTGCCTGTAACAGAAAGGTTACTTAAATTGTGTTATATTTGAGAAGAATTTGAACTCTTTAAGTACTGAACTACAAGGAATGGAGCAGTTTATTGGAATAAACCAGCAGAGAAGCACCACAGGGACTGAGTAACTTATAGATAGACTGGCCCATTCACCAAAATACCAGAATTGTAACATGCTGTTCTAAAGGAGCAGGAAAGAACAGAAAATGCAGCATAAATAGAATTAGCACCTTAGACAAAAAACCTTCAGCTGCTGCACAGGTACCTTTTTCAAGTACTTGCCTATGTGTGTTATTCTATTTGTTTCCACAGTGATCTCAAACACTTTCTAGCCCTACAAATATATCTAAGAACAGACTACAAATATAGACTAAAAAAGCCCAGCTTTGATGTTCCCGCAAGCAGGAAGCAGGGTTTTATCATTCTCTATTTTTTCTGATAACACCCAGGGGAATGTTTCTCAAAGGAAGAAGAAAGAAGTTATTTCCAACCTAATAAAGCAAACTGAGTTCCAAAAGCAAGGATTCTGTCCTCCTTTTACATGCCACGATGTCCCCAAACTTATTTTGTTGGTTTTTAGCCTAATATTAGTCCTATTATCACTGTTCTCAGTGCTCCCAGGTCAAACAAGGACTGTACTTCAGATGAGCTGAGCCAAAGTACATTCATTAAATCCAAACACAGCAGCAATTAACTCAGGCAAGGCAAGAACTGCAAAAAAGATAAACAAGGCAGCGAAGTAACAAATCACCTGCACTGCTGCCACCCTGCCCTGTGAATATTCAAAATTTAAAGATTAACCTGATGGTCCAGAAAGCTGCTTTCTTTTTCTAAAATAGTCTTTAAAAATAAATGAGTTTGCAAAACTTGAACAGGGGTAAACTTGGTAAGCTTTAGTGTAGTTTTGTATAGCAAGAGCTGCATTTTTCTCCAGGATTAGAGTGGGGGGAGCAACAGGAAATCTGTATTTGCTAAGATATCTCATCATAAACTTGGAAAATATTTCTTTTTTTTTTTGCAGTTCACACCTTTTCAAAATGGAAAATTTGTAGGGATGAGCCTGCCATGGAAGTATGAAATTCTGTAGCTGAGATAACACTTCTGAAAAAGGAGAGAAGAATCCAGTGCTAGAAAACTGAAGGATGATCAAGCCAAAGGCTCTACAGTAGAGTGGAAACTATGGAGAATTATGTCACCTAAAACCAGGGAATAGAACTGGGAGTGAAGAGGGGGAAGGTGAGAGGAATAATATCTGTATTGTTAAAAACCCCCTTGCAGCCCCTGGTTTGCTTGGTGGACAGTAACAAAAAAAAAACCAAAACAAACCAAAACACCAAAAACAAACCAAAAAACCACCTTTTTTTACCCTGAGTCTTCTAGACTTACAGTATGGAAAACAAATCAGCTGCTCTAACCACTTGATGATGTTATTTTACATATATAGATGTATCTTGGGTTTATTTGCATGGTGCTCTTGCTGAAGGAAAAAAAAAAAAAAAGATGGGATTATTTTTCCAGTGTGTTCCCTCAGTCCCTCCCAGCAGTTTGTGCCACTGATAGAAGAAATTAATAATGCTGTGATGGGATTTTGTAGAGAACTTCCATTTTCTGCCTTCTACTTCCAAATATCTTATTTAAGCCAGGATTTCAGGAAGTGGGGAAACCCCCTGATCTGTGGTGCCCAAGTTTTCCAGAATCCTTTCAGAGCAAAGCACGTGGCAGAAAAAGGAGAAAAAGGAGAAAAAGGAGAAGAAGGAGAAAAAGGAGAAAAAGGAAAAAAAGGAGAAAAAGGAGAAAAAGGGGAAAAAGGGGGAAAAGGGGAAAAAGGGGAAAAAGGAGAAAAAGGGGGAAAAGGAGAAAAAGGCTCAGTGGCCATTTCTGTTCCTTGGGTAGAAATTAAAGTGCCACAAAGAGCTGTTAGCCCGAGATAAAGATTGCCATCCTTTGGGAATCTCCAGAGACTTGAGTTAAGTGTTATTTTTCACACTCCCTGACTTCAAGGGAACGCAGTAAAACACAGGCTGATGTTTTCAAGTTCAAACATGCCACTGCTGTCACTGCGAGGTGTGAGCAGCACACAGCACAAACACCTCCCAGCCACTGCCTGATGATTTTTGTAGGGGGAAAAAAGCTCCAAAGATCCTAGAAAT